ATAGACCACAATTTTAAGTCCCTAAGATTAGAGGTGTTGCTAGAGAACAGAATACAAAGAAAAGGAGGAGGATAGATAGATAGACAGACAGACAGACAGAGAGACAGGCAGGCAGGCAGGCAGGCAGGCAGGCAGGCAGAAAGACAGAGAGACAGAGAGATAGATAGATAGATAGATAGATAGATAGATAGATAGATAGATAGATAGATAGATAGATAGATAGATAGAGAGAGAGAGAGAGAGAGAGTAAGAGAGAGAGAGATAGATAGATAGATAGATAGATAGATAGATAGATAGATAGATAGATAGATAGATAGATAGATAGATAAAAAGAAAGAAAGAAAAAAAGAGAGAGAGAGACAGACAGACAGACAGACAGACAGACAGACAGACAGACAGACAGACAGACAGACAGAGACTGGGAGAGAGACACACAGAGAGAGAGAGAGAGAGAGAGAGAGAGAGAGAGAGAGAGAGAGAGAGAGAGAGAGAGAGAGAGAGAGAGAGAGAGACAGAGACAGAGAGATATAAAAAAGAGACGGTCAGAGAAAGCCTGAATCTACACACTCAGCTGTTCGATGCTATGAAATTCAAGGCAGTAATAAATAAAGTTACATTAGTTCACGGCATGTAGGCCTGCCTTGTTTGACCAAGAGGTCAGAGACTCATTCAAAAACAGCTGTGACGCCTTGCTATATTCATGAATCCACTCCATGTTCGTGTGTTTTGCTTACTCAGCGCATATCGTGATGTTTGTATCTGCCTAATTGACTTGTTTTTTAACCTCTGTTAGTCTATTTTTACCCAGCCCTTTTTCTTCTTCCAGCACGTAAGCGCGTTCACACACACACACACACACACACACACACACACACACACACACACACACACACACACACACACACACACACACACACACACACACATACAAACATACACAGAAACACCCACAAATTATATATTGAAGTGAAGAAACTTGCATTTTTCTGCAGGTTCTTGAATTTTCATCAAATTCTTGTTTTTTGGCTCAACACCTTCATGCCCATTAAAGAACTCATTTCTGTGAGGATTTTTCTAAAAAACGTGGATCAAAGGCACATAAAATGTAAATTTTCATTTACCACGGACTCTTAAGCTAAGGAAATAACTAATCTTTGGCGGCCATTTTCTCACTAATTTTACCTCTGAAAACAGGTGACACAAACCTCTTTCTGTCGCAAATATCTCGATTTGTATTCAAGAAAAAAAAAATGTTTCATCCAAATAAAGACAGGTGAACAAGCTTTAAGATGATACCAATACTCTACATGCCCAAAAAATTGGCGAGAGCTTGATTCCACCTCGCTGCCTCAAATATAATATATATATCTATATATATATATATATATATATATATATATATATATATATATATATATAAATATATATATATATATATATATATATATATATATATAAATATATATATATATATAATATATATATTTATATATAATATCTATTATCTATTTGTGGTGGCCGAATTTTGCTATTCAAAAGGCTTTTTAATGGCCTCTTTAATCGACATGCGGTTTTTCGCCCAAAGATTCTTTAAAATGTTCTCCAGATCATGGCGCCATTCGTTTCTTTCAGTTTTGAGACAGTTTTGCTGCAAAAGCTAAATTTCTTTATTTCGCCGATCGCTTTTTTAGGCCGACGCTACTGCCTCGGTAATTTTAGAAAATCCCCCAGGTTTCTTTATTTCAAGTCGTACTTCCGTTCGATACTATCGCGCATTGTCGCGCAATACTGAGCACTATTTCAAAATGTGCGATCCGTATAGATCTACCCTCATGTTTTCTTTTTTTACTTTGAGCTAAATTCGACTGTGATCCTTTAGTTTGATCAAAGAGTCTACATAACATGAGGGGCCACTTCTCTCTTTGAGCCAATTAAAAAAGTGTCCTCAAAATTCGGTGGCGCCCTCTTCGCAAAAGCGCACCTTTTGCGAACAGAGTTATCCTACTTGAGTTTAAAAAATCTGGTGAAACTAGCAAGTTTTTTAAAATGAATTTCGGAAGAACGCTTTTTTTTAATGGTTACGCTGACAAAAAAAACCTCTTCCGGAGGAAAGGGTGATTGTTTTCTTCGTTTAATTTGGCTTTAGAATGAAAGGCGAGAGGTCATTAAAATTTTTAAAAACCTAAAACTCCGCACTGAACGAACCCGAATTGCTGATGAACAGCAGTCGATCTGCGCACGCAAGGAGGTGCTATTCCTATTATTCTTCTGGAAAAACGAAAGAGAGCTTCAAAACAGAGTGCAGCGCCATCTGAGGCAAAGAGCGAACTTCCTGCGGACACTTTTTTGACTGAGTGGCCCATCTTGTTATTTACTATCTTTGGTTTGATGCCCATCATCGCTTTTTCTGAACTCCTTTGTCAAATTCTTTTTCGTGCTACTGGGAACAACGTCAACAGGTCTTAGATTAGAATCTAGATCTAGATCATAGCGCCTGACCATCCCCAAAAGAAAACGACGTCCTACAGTTTGAACCCTTCGCCCTCGCAAAAGTCGGGGTGGTCTAGATCAACAACAAAATGATGGAGACTCTCTAGATCTAAATCTCCCAAAAGCAATGTTAATGCACCTATCATTCCTTTCATCGAAAGGGGGCCCAGCTAGTATTATAAATGATATTGTATGTGCTTGTGTGTTTAGAGAGAGAGTGCGATAGACAGAGAGGGTGAGAGAGAGAGAGAGAGAGAGAGAGAGAGAGAGAGAGAGAGAGAGAGAGAGAGAGAGAGAGAGAGAGAGAGAGAGAGAGAGAGAGAGAGAGAGAGAGAGCGCTTTTGCGCCCATAACCACCAACAACTTTCCTCTCAAACAAATTAACAAATAAACATGTAATACACAAAGTTGGTTCAGTTGGAGGGATAGATTAACCCCATTAACACGCGCGGTACACAAGGCTTCTCAGATACATAAAAAGACAGAAACAACAAAGTTAAGATACGATCAATTTTCATGTATCAGGTCTGCTTTCTTTCATTTTTTTCTCCTTTGTTTCTTATTTGTCATATTTTATACATGCGGCAGTTTACTTGTCTTCAGATCGCCTTATTCATTTCCATGCTTTCGAGAAACAAGATTTCAACCAAACGAAAGGTTGAAGAGTGAAAGAAAACAACCTGTAAGCTTCTATTTTCATATAAATAAAATATTACGATTCTTCTTCTTATTGTTTGCAAAAAGATCAAAAGTAACATTAAATTAATGTGTCAACGACAAAACCTAAAACAAATTGAAACATGCACTGTGGAGTCCGCTTCAACCGAAAGTGTTTGAGCCTAAAACAGCATGAATCGAAAGAAAATTAAATCCCCGATTAATTTCCCCCCTTGTGTTTGGGCGAATTCTCTAAACCGAAAACACGGTTAAACGGATGGAAATCTAGCGGTCCTTACAGATTTCAGTTTAAGCTAATATCAATATCACTGTACTTGTAACAAAAACAGACAAAGGAAAAAAAAACCTACTATGAAGCTCAAGCAATGGTGCTGTTGTTGTTGTTATTGTTGTTGTTATTGTTGTTGTTGTTGTTGTTGTTGTTGTTGTTGTTGTTGTTGTTGTTGTTGCTGTTGTTGTTGTTGTTGTTGTTGTTGTTGAGTAGAGAGGAGAACATTGACACCATAACGGCCATTCAGTGCAAGAGAAAGTATGACAGACACAGGCAGGAAAAAACAGAGGGAAAGAAAAGAAGTACGATCTACCAGTCGCGCCGTCCAACCGCCCACTTGTCACAAACAAGGGGGAAAAAATGTAAATTACGAACCCTGAATACAGACTGATCCTTTCCATCTCCACCTTTAAACTTGGCGCGGAAAAGCGAGCCAAGAGCCAGATTGGAAAATGACGTCATCAAATCAGGCGGTGTGCTGACGTCATAAACAGCATCAGCAAGAGAGGTGTTGTAGTGGTCAGCACATAACCTGTGTAAATAAAAAGTGGGCTTCTGATTTCTTTTTTTTTTCGTTTCTGACTATTGTTTCGTATAATAATAATAGCGTTTGCTTGTTGTTTTAAGGTTGAAAATTAAAAATATCCATTGCATTGTGTATCTGGTTTTGTTTCTTTCGGTTTGATCATTATTGTTTTTTCAAATGCTATTTATTTTTGTAATGCAGGTGGGTATTGAAATGTAAAGATTGGGAAGCAAAACGTAAAGTAAGTAATGAAGACAGAAGCTATACCTTTGCTCTAGGGTCGGAGTTCATAAGCCGTTTTTACATTATTGTTCCGTTTATCATGTTATGTTGTGTAAAATAAATAAATCAGAATTAAATTTAACATTGGTCTCTGTGGTGAAATTTATTTTACAAAGGTGCACCATGTTATATTATGAAATACATAGATACGGTACATGTGCATAAATACACCGATTCATAGATATATACCTACCAAAACGTACTGAAACATATAGATGTACTACAAGCACGCCATTGCTGGTTACCACTGAGCAGTGTCTTGCTTGTTGCTGGGTTTTTTGTGGGGGTTTTGTTTTGGGTTTTCTTTTTAGCTAGCTATATTGTGTCTTTCACAAGGACTCACCCTTGATTACCTACCTGAAAGACGTGTCATCGACGTATGCTTGACACTGCAAGCCTGGACTCACTAACCACTCAAATGCTGATGATTTTAAAGAGATTCTAATACAACCAGAACTGTTTTCTAATTATAATTTCAGGAGAAAATCCAACATAAGACAAAATAAAACAAAGCAAAGTTGCAAAGTTGATAAGTTCATCTCCCCCCTCCCCTCTCCCAACACCCCCCCCCCCCACCCCCCACCCCACCCCTTTACCCTCCGATTAAAACTGGAATACATAATTGAAATCACCTACTTGCATTCTTTTATCTTCTTCAAACCGGTCTTTGCCGTGGTACACGATTCTGATTTTTTCACAAGAGTCTGCAACTTGTTCAGCGTGGTACCGCCCTTGACTGGAGCCTGTGCTAAGTTCTCAGGATAGATCACCCAACCAGACTCATCCTTTCTAAGTTTTTCTGGCCACATTGTCATAATGGTACTGGAGAATAAATGAAAGACATAATAGTATACATACATACATACATATTTTACATTATATACAGTATATTTAACGGCGATCAAAAGAAATGTACCAGACTGATTTTGATGCTAGCAAACTGACGAATTTGCTGGAAAGAACTGATGAATGAATATTGAATGTTTATAAATAAAACGCAGCAAAACGATTATTGGATCTTAACAAAAAAAACAAGCACGTACACGCATGTGGCTAAAAGGAAGAAGACAACAACAACAAAAAGAAAAACATCGACAGAATAATGGTAATTTCGTGCTGCGAAAAAGAAAGACTAACAGACAGACAGAAAAGACAGAGGGAAGGTAAGCTAATTGGACCTGCCAAAAGCGCCCTCCAACCACTCGCGGAGTTTAAATTTGAGTAAAGAGAAGCACATCGACACAGCAACGGTCATAATAATAATACAAGAAAGAAACACAACATAAACAGCAGAGGGAAAGGCGTTCTACTAAAGTGCCCTTTCGGGGAAGAGAGGAAGGCCTTGGAAATGGCTATTGACCGGAACGACAAACAATGTGATGCATCCAACTCGGTTGCTATCTTCGCTGTTCGCCAATCGCTAGGCATGGCACTCGTAGGAACATTACCATCTCTCTACTAAATGCAACTACGCATAAATAATACAGCAAGTGGATCCCAGGTCACTGCGAGATCCTCGACAAACACCTCGCTGACTGCAATGCCAAACAGGCAACAGCGCTGCCAGGCCCAGGCCGCCAAATTGCGTATGGAAGTTCGTGCGCTTAGATAAAACTGATTACAAAAGACCTTCTTATATCCCACATGCGGACGAAGGAAATATACGGGGCAGTATACTTAGAATGGGAGGCACAAATTAAGTCCTGCGGCGGCCTGTCAGTACTGGCAAAAATCAGGATTGGTCAATTCTCTGGGCTGCGGGCCTACAAAAATATTATAGACAAAACATCAGAACCCATATGTCCATTATGCAGCGAGGAGTCCCAAGATTTGGAGTATTGGCTGCAGAGATGCCCCGTGATGCCCCGTCATGGGGGTCCGGCGGTGGCATCTCTTTGGGGAGAATTCAGGGAGGTTGGACTGCCTCA